GACGCATGTTCCCATTGGTTTATACAGCACTTCCGGTCGTGACGGACACACATGCGTCATATTGAGAATCCACATTAACACTTTAGTTAATGAATCCATGAGCTCTTCTCTCAAATCAACGTGATGCAAGCACTCACACAAATCAACCATCGCTGATTCTGAATCAGGGAAATCAACAATAAAATCAAACAATTCACAAATCCTAAGCAAAGAAAGCTGAAACGTACATGTACATGTAATACTGTAATCGTCCATAACAATTGTATATGTGATGTAATATCCTACCAGACCACTCCTTACTAATGTCACCTAATAATAATAATAGTAGTAATAATAATAATAATAATAATAATAATAATAATAATAATAATAATAATAATAATAATAATAATAATAATAATAATGTCCATTACCATATATGGCATTGAGCGAACCGCTTAATAAATCCTGAAGTTCCTCGGTGACCACGCCAAACAAACTCTCATCAAATATGTCGGAGCAGCAATCAGTCACATAATCTATAGATATTAGAGTTAAAAGGGATTGGAAACGCCCACGCTTTCCTGTTTCACTCCGTGTCCGTATGCAGTAATGGCTCCAGATAGCTCTGTGAATTCAGCAAGCCTCCTCCAGTGCTCCTGGTGGTTGTTAAAAGGATACTAAAATTTCAAAAGAGTTTCCTCTTATAAAGGCAAAGTGGAACAACAATAAAGACTAGAGTTCTTCTGCATAAAAATCAATCATAATATTTAGTGCCTTATGGTTTGCTCCGGCACTGATGCACATGCATGTGACTGTTCACAGCCACATTTTAGAAATTAACATGAACTTATCTTCAAAATTATTTTGTTCAGTATATTCTAAAGCAGAAATATAGACAGCATCTTTTATAGGGATAAATTATCATATTTTTAAAAGAATTTGGTTTTTGAAATGTCTAAATTTTACTTTTTGTCCCATGATCTATAAAGAACAACATACAAGTAAAATCATAGGGGTAGGAACAGGGGGGGAGGAGGGGCTTAAGCCCCCCCAACTTTCATTGAAGGGGGGCTTAGCCCCTCCAACTTTAAGTGATATACATGTATTACTATTATCAACACTATAGACTTTAGTTTAGGTAATCCTTATATGTGTGCATATTGTGTGATGATTCGTTTCATAAAACAATTAATACACTAGCTTAACTTCTAAGAACACACTTTTATTAGTTTTTTTCAGGAATACACAAGCTTCTACTTCTTTATTTAACAACTCTGTTAAGTGTTAACATCAGCTTCAGCTAAGCATAGATTTTCGACGTTAAGGAGATTAAAAACTACTTGCGCTCCACAATGTCACAAGAGCGTCTTAATCATGTAGTTATTTTGCATACACACAAAGAATTTACAGATGATTTACACATCGAGGACATTGCAAAGGAATTTGTTACATTTAATGAGCATAGACGCCAATATTTCGGACAGTATTAATTTCAGTACATGCTTTGTATTAATGATCAATTGTAAAAAAATACCTTAGCCCTCCCAACTTTTAGTTCGTTCCTACCCCTATGAGTAAAATTATAAGTCATTGCACTAAAGTAGCACTTCAGTAATCACTGTAGCAATAATTGTTACCGTAGGATCTTCGGTACTGCTGGTAGAGGTACAAAAGAAGACAATAAATTTTCTCTGAAAGTTTCCATTACTACTACAGGAGTATTA